TAAAATAATTGGTAGCGAAGGCGGCCGAAGGCCGTCTGAGCGCTCATATACAACATTTCACATGTTCCATCTATCTATGCCAATCCTGTGCTTGCTACAGGCAATCTAGAAAACTGACCAATAGGATTACAGCATTCCAAAAAATTAAAATAATTGATAGCGAAGGCGGCCGAAGGCCGTCTGAGCGCTCATCTATATACATAAAGAAATGTGTTTGTGTTTATTTTACTTACAACAATGACGCATGCATTTTTTTCTGACGCTCAAAGATAACGTCTTTGTTCTTTTTCATGACTCAGAAATATGACGTATTAACGGTATCTATATATACTATTTATACAATTTTACTCAATAATCAGCTGTACTACATTCTTGAATACATATGACTTCATTTCTTTGTCATTTGTTGTGTATGATGCCATGTATAACATTCCTCCTCATATATCATATTTTATATCGTCATTGGAATGTTTACGTCATCTTAAATGATGATGATGATATAGAAATATGCTATTGATTTGCATCTATATAAATAGGTATCTTTTTCTTTTGTTTTTCATTAATAAAACTAAATTCACTATAGTGTTTCTTATTCTTCAACGCTTTTAATAAAATCAATATTCTATTCTATCACTAAACATAATTGTTCAAAAACGAGTAAGTGTCCAATATTCCATATAAAAATTATAAGCTTACAGATTACCAAATATTTTTCGATCGTGATATCAACAGTAAATTCAAAAGGTAAGATTGCAAATTCATTCTCTTCGGAGCATTTTCTATTTTCTATATTTCTTATTTAGATAAAAATATTACGTGATGCCAGTAAAAAAAAGAGCCTCTTTGGGAAGAAGTACATCAGCTGCAAGAAGAATGGCAGCAACAAGAGCAGCTGAAGATTCTGAAGACGCACGCACTCGACTTGATGGTCAACGTGCAAGACAAGCAGCTTCAAGAGCAGCTGAATCTCCAGAACGGAGACAAAGTCGACGGGAAGATGATCGAGCCAGACATGCAGCTTCACGAGCAGCTGAGAATCCCATACAGAGACGGACTCGAAGTGAAGATCAGCGTAGACGACAAGCAGCCTCAAGGGCAGCGCAATGGACATTTATGGAAGGGGAAGCGTTTCGGTATGATCCAGCCAATAACTATGACAGCCATCCTCAACTTAATATTGGACAAATGAGCGATGTTTGTCCATACTGTAATGCCCTCAAATGGCATGCAGAAACACGAGGTATGTGCTGTTCTGGTGGTAAAGTAAAGTTACCTGAACTTCAGCCTCCTCCTGAACCACTGAAATCATTAATGTCAGGAACAACGCCTGAATCGAAGCATTTCTTGGACAACATTAGAAAATACAACTCTTGCTTTCAAATGACATCTTTTGGCACGTCAGAGAAAGTGGCTGACCCAGGCTTCATGCCTACTTTCAGAGTTCAGGGTCAAGTATATCATCGCGTAGGATCTCTGCTGCCGCCTTCGAATGAAGAACATAAATTTCTTCAAATCTACTTCATGGGCGACGATCGAAAAGAAGTACAACAACGTTGCAAAAACATGCCTGGCGTACGTCAAGACATTGTCGAGAAACTGCAGCAAATGGTTCATGAGCACCACATTTATGTTGATCTTTTCAAGACTGCCCTTCAAAGAATGCCAACAGATCAATACAAGGTGCTTATTCGAGCAGACATGAAACCTGTTGGAGAGCATGCACGTCGTTTCAATGAGCCAGTGACAAATGAGGTGGCGGTTGTCATCGCTGGCAACGACTTCGAGAAACGAGATATTGTCTTGGAGCAGAAAAATGGCCAGTTACAGAGAGTATCTGAGACACACAGGTCGTATGATACCTTGCAATATCCTCTCATCTTTTGGAAAGGTGAGGATGGCTACCATTTTCTTATCGAACAGACTGATTCAACAACTGGAATGGCTGTCACTGGCAAAAAAGTATCGGCTATGAGTTTTTATGCTTACAGAATTATGGTACGAACTGGTGCTGTCAATCATATCTTACAGTGCCGACAACTTTTCCATCAGTATGTGGTTGACATGTACGCTAAGATCGAAAGTGAAAGATTATCTTTTCTACGTTATAATCAAAAAAAGCTTAGAGTGGATGAATACATTCACCTGAAAGATGCTATAGCCAATGATGGACGAGCTGACAATCTTGGTCAATTAGTGATTCTACCAGCAACTTTCACTGGAAGTCCCCGGCACATGCATGAATATACACAAGACGCCATGACTTATGTAAGAAACCACGGAAGACCCGACCTCTTTATAACATTCACCTGCAATCCTAAGTGGCAAGAAATTCAAGCAGAATTAATGGAAGGTCAAGCTCCCTCTGATCGTCATGACCTATTAGCAAGAGTGTTCAGACAAAAGCTCATTAAATTGGTCAACATTATTACCAAAAGCCATGTATTTGGGCCACCAAGATGCTGGATGTATTCTATTGAATGGCAAAAGAGAGGACTACCACATGCCCATATTTTGATATGGCTGAAGAACAAAATTAAAGCAGATCAAATAGATAGCGTAATCAGCGCAGAATTACCTGATCCTGAACGAGATCCTCGACTATTTGAAATAATTATCAAGGCTATGATTCACGGTCCATGTGGAAGTATTAATCCAAACTCTCCGTGTATGGAAAACAAAAAGTGTACAAAAAGATATCCAAAACAACTTTTGCATGATACAGAAACTGGTGATGATGGATATCCATCGTATAGAAGAAGAAGTTCAGAAGATGGTGGTATCAAAGCCAAAATCAAAATGAGAATTAATAACTCCATTCAAGAAATCGAAATTGACAACAAGTGGATTGTGCCATATTGTCCACTACTCTCTCGGGTCTTTCAAGCCCACATTAATGTGGAATATTGCAACTCGGTAAAATCAATCAAATACATATGCAAATATGTCAACAAGGGCAGTGATCAGGCAGTGTTCGGTTTGGGAAGAGATGGAGCACCAGTTGATGAAATTAGTAACTACCAGTTAGGTAGATACATCAGTAGCAATGAGGCAGTCTGGCGAATCTTGGATTTTCCAATTCACGAACGATATCCAACCGTTGTTCATTTGGCTGTTCATTTGGAAAATGGTCAACGCATTTATTTCACCGAAGATAATGTTCATGAGAAAGTTAATGAACCACCAAGAACAACACTAACAGCATTTTTCTTACTCTGCCAGAAAGACGACTTTGCCAAAACGCTGTTGTACTGTGATGTTCCAAAATACTACACATGGAACGCGTCTGAAAAAGTGTTTAAGCGGCGTGTTCAAGGAACTGCTGTGCTTGGTCATCCAGACATTAGAGAAGGAGATGCGTTGGGTCGTGTTTACACTGTGCATCCTAATAATTTCGAATGCTTTTTCCTACGACTCTTACTTCATGTGGTCAGAGGCCCTACTTCATTTGAAGCTCTTCGAACTGTAAACGGTCAGATCTGTGCAACATTTCGTGAAGCATGTCAATTACATGGATTACTGGAAGATGATCAGCAATGGGATGCCACCATGTCCGAAGCAGCTGCAGCTCAATTGCCAGCAAGATTAAGAAATCTATTTGCTCTTATACTAGCTGTTTGTGGACCATCCAATCCAAAACAATTATGGGAGTCGTACAAAGAAAGCTTGACTGAAGACATTCTGAGAAATGCTCGCAGGCAAAATCCTGGAATTAATTTGGATTATACACCAGATATGTTTAATCAAGCACTGATTATTATTGAAAATAAAGTTTTAGAGATGGGTGGCAAAGAACTTGAGAAATTAGAGCTCCCAACTCCTCAACGAAATTCGGGTGATCGATTAAACAGTGCAATGCTCAGAGAAACAAGTTATGATGTGAAAGAGTTGAATGCTTATATAACAGCAAATGAGCCACTGTTGGTGCCGGATCAGAAAGCTGCATACAATGCGATTTTGGATCAGATCGAGAAGAAAGCTGGTGGAATAATCTTCCTTGATGCACCTGGTGGAACAGGGAAGACATTTGTCATTAATTTGTTATTGGCTAAAATCCGGCATCAGTCAAAGATTGCGATTGCGATCGCCTCTTCCGGTATCGCTGCTACGCTGCTTCACGGTGGTCGTACTGCGCACTCGACATTAAAGTTACCTCTTAAGTTTTTGGAAAATCAAACTCATCTCTGTAGTATTACCAAAGGAACTGGCGAAGCAAAGGTTCTGCAAGAATGTGAACTTATTGTATGGGATGAGTGCACAATGGCTCATAGGTATGCATTAGAAGCTTTGAACCATACTTTACAGGATCTTCGTAACAATGGAAAGAATATGGGTGGAGTAGTTGTACTTATTGCTGGCGATTTTAGGCAAACATTACCAGTTATTCCAAAGGGTACCATGGCTGATGAGCTTAAAGCTTGCTTGAAATCTTCGTATCTTTGGAGACATGTTGCATCATTAAAACTCAGTACTAACATGAGAGTGCACTTACAAGGTGACGTATCTGCCGGCCGTTTCGCTGAACAACTTCTCGCAATTGGAAATGGCAAAATACCTGCTGACCCAGTCAGTGGACTTATTAATATTTCAGACAACTTTTGCAATATCGTTGAATCAGTCGAAGAACTCAAGAATAAAGTGTTTCCAAACATTCAAACTCAGTACAAGGATCACAAATGGTTATGTGAACGTGCTATTCTGGCTCCGAAAAACGTCAATGTAAATGCTATCAATCTACAAATACAGCAACAACTTCCTGGTGAAGCTATATCTTACAAATCAATTGATACAGTTAAAGATATCGACATGGTAGTTCAGTATCCAACTGAGTTTCTCAATTCACTCGAACCTTCTGGAATGCCACCACATAACTTGCGTCTGAAAATTGGATCATCTATTATGCTCCTAAGAAATCTGGATGCACCAAGATTATGTAATGGTACAAGGCTATGTGTCAAAACTCTAATGCCTCATGTAATCGAAGCAACGATCATGACAGGTTGTGCAAAAGGTGAAGATGTATTCATACCAAAAATACCTTTGCTCCCCTCTGATATACCATTCCAATTTACACGACTTCAGTTTCCAGTACGGCTTGCCTTCGCAATGTCTATTAATAAGGCTCAAGGGCAATCACTTAAAGTTGCTGGTGTCAATTTAGAAACTCCTTGCTTTTCTCATGGTCAACTTTATGTGGCATGCTCGAGAGTAGGAACTGGAGAGAATTTATATGTTTTTGCTCCAGATGGAAAAACGAAGAACATCGTGTACAAAACAGCTTTACAATGAAAACTTCTATTTTACTGTTTTTTTGCTTGGAAGAAGTTCATCAATAAAAATATAAAAAGGAAAAAAGTCTATAACGGCTTTAATGTGTTGAATATTAAAATTAAAAAAGAAAAGATTCGAGTGTAGCTTATGATATTGCAGATGAATAGCTGTTGAGGACTGTGGCAACATTGTATTATCATCCGTGAGATATATGCTATCGTATCATCTCCATACATCGGGTACCTCCGCTAGTTATTTATATGTCGAAATTTATCAATGTTAAGTTAAGAGAATTATTTTCTTTATCTATTGAACAATCAAAAAGATTCAATAGGAAAAAATAAAAAAAAATGTCATATTGGGATATTATTTGAATAATAGTTGTGATAATCGATTTACAATTTCATGAATAATCAATGAACTTGTCTAATTTTTCTACATAAATATTTGTTCTTTTTCTATTGATTAATAAACAATGCAAAAGTCTTCGGAAGAATATCGAAATCTATTTCTCAAGAATGTAATATCAGATTCACTTCGATATTTTTTATTTTAAAGAGCAAAGTTTGTAGAATATATACATAAACCAAAACAATTTTCGGGAACGTCCATATTTTATGATTGTTCCTATAGGGGACACTATTGCCCTGCACATCCAAAGTTTAAATATGGAATTCAATGTTCATTGATTCGCTCCTTTCTCTTGATATAGACATTTCATAAGTCAAATAATTCTCATTTAGTTAATTATGCCCATAAGAATCTGATAAGATGCGATTGAAAAATATCGATTAGTATAGTTTCTAAGAAATAATTTCTTTTTTATTTATCTTTGTTTTATTTTTTGAAAAATCATCGAAGTTTTAAATTAATTCTAAGTTCTTTACATGTAGAAAATCAGAGATACCAGTTCTATATCAACCAATAACAATGGCAATGATGAAAGTGATGGTGAAGAAGAACAAATTTCACCTCCATATAAACCAATTGTTCGTTATTCTTCACCACAAAAATGACCATGTTCATCAATACCAACAATAAATTCCGCTTATAATAAGAACATTAAAGTTGAACAATCAGTAACTAGTTTAAAGAAAGAAAACTATAACAATCAGTAATTAAGAATGAAAATTCGAGTAAAACAACAGCGAATATGAATAACTATCCTTGGATCAATAGTTATTGGTATGAACATGTTCGCTATTAAAAGTATCGCCAAACTTTTTAAATTCCTACAAAGACTATTTACTTTTTCATAAGGATGACTAGTAAAATCTTATTTTTTTTCCTTCATTTTCTTAAGTATTCCTCAGTCATGAAAACAAAATGATTCCAGCTTAGCTAACAAAGAAAAAATGTGAATGTCTTCTAATTTTAATTACTTCAAAACATCCTTGTTCATCCCTCTTCATATTTGTTCCATGGTTATATACCAGTGTGCGCTTTTTTTATATAATAATTTCAATTTAACTGCATTGTATATCTAGAAAAGACACCGGATAATAAGAAACTATAAATCTAATATCATTTTAAA